GGCAAGATTTCATGACAAAGTGATTGAACAAAAACAAAAAATGACAAATGGAACCTAATTAAACCAAAGAGCTTCTACACAGCAAAAGAAGCTATCAACAGAATAAACAGACAACCCACAGAATGGTAGAAAATATTTGCAAACTATGCAACCGGCAAAGGTCTAATATCCAGAATTTACAAGGAACATAAACAAATTTACAAGCAAAACCCAAACAACCCCATTAAAAAGTAGGCAAAGGACACGAACAGACACTTTTCAAAAGAAGATATACATGTGATCACAGCTTATGAAAAAAAACTCAACATCACTAATCGGTAGAGAACTGCAAATCAAAGCCACCATGAGATACCATCTCACACCAGTCAGTATGGCTACTATGAAAAAGCCAAAAAATAATAGATGTTGGCATGGATGTAGGGAAAAGAAAATGCTGGTGGGGATGGAAATTAGTTCAGCCACTGTGGAAAGCAGTTTGGTGATTTTTCAGAAAACTTAAAAAAGAACTACCATTTGACTTAGTAATCCCACTACCGGATATATCCCAGTTACCCTGATTTGATTATATTAATGTATAAGATTATCATAGGTACCATGGAAATGTGTAGTTAAGTACCAAAATAAATAAATAAATAAATAAATAAATAAAGGCCAGGCATGGTGGCTCACGCCTATAATCCCACCACTTTGGGAGGCTTAAGCAGGTGGATCACCTGAGGTCAGGAGTTTGAGACCAGCCTGATCAACATGGAGAAACTCCATCCTACTAAAAATACAAAATTAGACTGGCCTTCCAAATACTCTGTCAGGATCATATACACTCACATCTTTCATTGTCCCTTAAATCCTCATATTTCCTATCTCCTGACATAGAATAAATCCAAACATGTGTAGCAAGACAATGTTTTTGGTCACTAACTTCTGTTGTTTTCTGTTGCCTGGAATTCCTTTATCTCATTTAAGCATGTAGCAAACCCTGTGTCATCCTGCCACAGGGGGGCTTTGCAGAGGCACGTTGTTTTGGTTGGAGTAACCCCTACTGGCCAAACTGCATGTCTTTGGCATGGGAATATATCTACCCCTTAGAAAGGGTGCCTTTCTCTTCACCCAAAGGCACCATCTGTTCACCCAAAAGGATGCCCACAGTGCTGTGCCTGCCCAGAGACCCTTCTCTTCTTCCTGGGGGTTTGTGGGATTAGAAAAGCTAAGTACACCAAGGAAAATTGAATTTAATGGAAAAGGAAGCCTAATGACATTGAGGGAAGAGAGTTTCAGGTAAGAGAGATTTCTCCCAGAGCAGAAAGAGGATCTTTCAAGCAGCAAAAGGAGTCAAAGATTCTCTTGAGCAGAGGAAATGATCAGTGCCCCCAGAACGTGGCAGGATCTGAGAAGGAATGGAAGGTGCAAGATCTCAGCATCAGAGGGGCTTATTTGAAGGGGCTACTTGGGTTCCATAGTGGGTTTCTTCTCGGAAACCAGATAACTGATTGTGGAGTTTCCCAGCACCCTAGGGGAAGACTGAGAAATGGGGTCACCAGGAGGGGAGGTAAATGCCTAAAGTTCAGTTTCCCAATTAGGTCAAGTAAAGAAAATGCCCATTCCTTGTACAACTGAGTTTCAGAACTCAGAGGCATATTGGGTATATATGTGAAAGAAGAACATTCTCCAAATGGTTCTGACCAGTTGCTGGGTCATGCATGAAGAGAAGGAAACCTTGGTCATGTGCTACTGTGGACCAGTATCTATCATGAAAACTGTCACAAAAGTCAGTTCATTTGAACCTCAATGACAATTAAATTATAATTCACCCTTTTGTACACATGGGGAAAGTGAGATCAGGGAGGTGAAATAATTTGCACAAGGATATTCAGTGAGTAAATCACAAAGGTAAACTGTGAACCTCAATCTTTTCAACACAAAAACCTATTCTTTTTTAACTATATCATTAGTTTTCAAACTGTGTTCCACAAAACCTAGAAGGTGAGGCTCCAAATGTTCATCCAATTAGATTTTGTCTTTTATAGTTTTAACTATTTTTAAATGAATAAAAAAGCAACGCTTGCAAATTCTACAACTTTGACAGCCACCAATATGCTCATTTTTCAATATGCTCATTTTTATTATCAGGTTCATTAGGTTTCATGCAGCTCTCAGAATCAAGCTTCTCCTACCACCTCTAGATACATACTCGAACTCTTGTAAATGTGTCATCCAGAAGAATATAGTTATATTATATCTGAGGGAAGGCAATTAGTTCAGATGTGTGAATATTCAGTCATGTAAAATGGTACAAACCGGAAAAGAACTTAAGCAAACGTTTGCTGTGCTCAAATGCCAAACAATGTTCAAATACCAGTTTGGAACAAGCTGCCATCTTGGCAAAAGAGAGCAATCATATGTACGTGGGTGCCTCCTTACGTTTGGAAAGTATTCTATCATTGACATTTTAGTGTCTCTTGGATCAGTTTAATTGAATATTACGTGTACAAGGTAAGCTATTAAAAATTGGTTACCATGTTTCTCTATTTCCCATGTTTTCTATAAGCTCATATTAAAACTAGAGGCTCGATTGGGTGGGGGCACAACATTACTGGTGATAGTGTGCACTTCCTACTGATACCAGGAGGCACACAATCTCTGGTTGCCCCACTTTTAGCAGTGCTACCATTGATATTAGGGTTCAGGTGATATTGGTCTGATCTATCATTAATTTCCCAATCAACCATTTACCTAATGATTTTAGCAGCTATTGACAATAATTACCTAGATCCATCCTTTCATTAGGGATTTTTTTTAAATAGGTAGCTTCCTATTATTTATTCTGCATTTTTAAGCTGTGATTCTCCTATAAACAAGAACTTTCATCAGCTATTAGATTACCCTGAAAACAGTCAAATTCAGAATGTAAGACAGTTTACAGGATAAATACTCCAGTCTCTTCAACAAATAAATATGCCTTTAAAAAAATAGGGGGATCCCTTGTGGAGTAAAACAGACATATCAACAAAGTTCATCTGTGATTCTTATTTGGAGCCTGAATCAAAGACCAACTGTTGGGTTTTTTTCAAAGGACATGTTTAAGACAATCAGAAAAATTGAAAATTAACTGGGTATTTGATGTTAATTATGGAATTATGGTTATATTTTGGTTTTGATAATAGTCCTTTCCATTAGCTAAGCACTGAAGTATTTACTAATGCAATTATCTATTTTTAATTTGCTATAAAATGTTCTAGCCACCTCCCAAAAAAAGGAGGGGTCTAGATTAAAACATCACCGCAGAAAGAAACATAACAGCAGAAGGTTGAGAGTTGTTGAAGCTGGGTTAATGGATACATGGGAGTTTATTATTCTATTCTTTAATTTTGTGTCATTTTTTCATAATAAAATGTTTGAAGGAATAAATTCAATTGAGTAGATCCAGAAACAGGTGAAAAGGATAATAAAATGGCTACCATTTGCAATTATTCACCTGTGTATGAATCAAGATCTTCTATCACTCAATAGAAGACATAAGCTTAAACTTAAATTTGAAAAACAGTCTTCAGCTCACTTCAAAACACCACTTAAAGTGTTTGAAAGAACATCATAATAGTTCTAGAATGGACAATAATAGTCTTAAAAACTAGTTTCAAAAAATGAGTGATGTATCCACACAGTACAGAGATCAGTTCGGTCATCATTGTGTCTTACACAGCACATCTTATCCTGATAACATTAAAAGATGACTCATTTCATCACCAAACATAGAAACACAGTTGTCTCTGGAACTCAGAATTTCCTCCTGAGTAGATGGGAGTCCTTTCAATGACCAAAGATTTTTATTGAGACTTCCATTGTCTAATCTAGAGGTGAGAAAACTACAGCAGAAGGTTGTAGATCTAGAAACAGGTGGAAAACATAACAAAATGGGCCAGCCCACCACACAGCCATACCCATTTGTTGTCTACAGTTGCTTTCCCAGACACAATGGCAGAATTAAGTAGTTGCAACAGAGACCAGACGGCCTCCAAAGCCTAAAATATGTATTATCTGACCATTTGCCCAAAAATCGTGCCAACCCCTGGTCTAAATCAAAAGATGAACTTAAAGATTTGGATTTCAGATGGTTGAAATACATGAGGTGAGGACAACACAAGTCTACAATTTGAATATCAATATATCAGTAATATTTTCTGCTTTGGCAGAAATGGGGAGAAAGACAGATTTGGGGAGAAAATCAATCATGCAATAACATTTTCATCATCAGTCAAAGTAACTGTGGAAGCAAAAAAAGAAAAAGAAAAACCCCGGCAGGATCAAAGCACAAAACTATTTGACAAATGTTATTTGAATTCTTGCACAGCTCTTTCATTGGTGAGTCTTTAGCTGTTGGTAGCTTTCTAAAAGTCTCCTGATTTTACCAATGTGATCTGCCTCAGTGCATGTCCATATGGCCCACTGCTTCATGGAAGAGATGGTTACTCTTCCAACAGAAAATGCAACCAAGCACTTGGAAAAGAACAAGTTTCGCTTTATCTTTGGAAAGGAGGGAGGAGAGATTCAGAGTGGATTTGATAACTAAAATTTAGATGTGAGCACAAGAAAATGTTAGTGAAAGAGGAACAAAAAATCATGGCATGTGTTTTCTCCTCTGTCAAGGGAATGAGGAGGCAAGGGCAAGAACAGGGCTCAAAAAGTCTTTGCTAACAGGAGACCTGCAGTCCCCTCCCCACTGGAATTTAGGGACCCCAGACTTGCTCTGAGTAGGCATATGAGGGCCAGACCACAGATCACCTGAAACTAATTCCCTAGTTTCCTGAAAGGGTTACAAAACTTGTCTGGTAATGGTCTACATTCTGCAAATCAGGAGAAGGAAATATTCTAGATCACAGGATCTATTCAATAAAAATGTTTATGCTATTATTTCACTACAGCAGCATGAGTGTCCTTTGCCAGGATGGCACCCCAAAAGGCTAATCTTGGACTGAACAAAGAAGATGAATGGGTCCTCGCTATACCTTCAAGATATGTTCATTGGATGCCTTGTCATCAGGGGACACATACAAACGGATGAACACGGAATTGCTGTATTGACCACGAAATGTTGCAAGTGTCTGTAGAAGGCTGAACTTTCTCTCTGACCAAACCCCTTCAGGACCAATATTAGATTCAAGCACGGGCCAGCGGAAAGGTGAATGCCGTAGGATGTGTAGCAGTGGCTTGGCATCGGCTTTTTCAATGGCTTCTGAAAGGGAGCAGATATGAACAGAGAGTTAGAATTGAAAACTGGATCAGCACACTAGAATTCAAGTGCATCTTCTCAAGACAAAATTCCCATAAGGCTCCAACTTAAAATTTCAGCTGTTAGGGAGTAAGCAGGAGAGGTGGGGTGGGATGAGCATAAACACCGAGACAGAACTACCTACGATCCACACTTCAATGGGCCTGTCTACATCTAGTGTTCTTGCCAGGAGAGCTGACCAGGGAAACTGCTGGATATTCACTACAATAAACATGGACCCTCTACATGGACCCCAGCCAAAGAATGATAATACTTGGTGGGACCAAGGTACAACCCTAATTAAAGGAATGCCTCAACAAAGTCAATCACTACCCAATGAAGATGAAGTAGTGCTTCAGATTCTTGTCCTTTATTGCTCTTTTCTAGCTCACCACATGATACCCCAAATCCTAGACCAGTTGACACACTTCCCATAGGTACTGGCTTCTTCCGGCAATGGCCTTGAGAAGGCAGTCCAGGTAAAATGGCCAGTATCTGTTCTGATTTCAATCAGAACCAAGATATTGAGACAGGGCTAAGGACCCAACAAGATGCCTGTTAGGCTGGCACAGGAACCTGACACACCTGGGAATCTGGATTTCTCTAGGTTCCAGTAGGTATACTCTCCCCCAGTCTCTTACTCAGCCCAGATTTGCCCTGGCTCCTAGATTCTGGTTTCTATACCAGATACAGCGAGTTTGCCCTGGTGACTATGTCCAACTTTTTCAAGGAGTAAATGTTACCCAAAGAATCCAACCCACATAAATAAGATTATTTTCTCTACCAAGCAAGCCGGTAACAACATTAACTAAGATGGGACTAGTCAAAATCCAGTCTTTGAGAATCATTCCTTTCCTTAAACACCTTTAACCGTTAATAGAATTCTTAGTTCTCTTCATCCTCAAACAATATATTAAAACATTAATAGAACTCTAAACAATAGGGATGGTAAGTATTTTATTTAGTTTTCTTTATCACTCACTCTCATTCATGCAGGATAAATAAAGGATTTTGGCTTTCTGCATGGCTTCGGTGTCCCGTCTTCTACTGATTGATTTCTCCAAAAGTGCTGAGAAGGTTAAGAAAGGATTCATTAGTATCCACCCACATGTGGTCCCAAGTTGGAAGTCATTTGATAATCACAATTCCAACCTCCACAAAATTAAACATAAAGACAGACAACCCTGGAAAGGACAGATCTATCAGAGATATGCAGACAGCAGAACAGATTCCAAGTTGTTTGAGGTTCAAATTAAAACAATTTTACATTCTCTTATCCGGCACTCTTAAAAGAAACCAAAAGGTCAATTTCAAGCTGAGATTGGATCTTCTACAGGGGTTAATTTCTTCTGCCACCTACACAAAAGGAACAGAATTCATTTATTCAAGAATCAAAAATAACTGAATTCTGTTCCTTGTTCCTGAACCAAGTAATAGTCTCAACGGAGCCAATTTCATCACAGTTGTGTTTAAGATTTCACCATAGCCCAGCCCCTCCGGGAGGTCACCTGGAAGAAATTCCCCATTAGAAGTTTTATCAAATGTTGAATTAACATGTTATGGACATGGAAGAAGTTCTTTAGACAGGAAATGGAGAGACGAGGTTGGAAAACCTACCCGAATTGCCTGAAAACTTGCCCGTTTATATATGCATGGTCCTAAACATCTAAATGAGTCATGTGCATAAAATGGTTGCCAATATAGACATAGGCCCACCTGGAAAATAATTTTCTATGTATAAAATCACTAATAACAACATTTGAAGGCAGAAAATGATAGTTGTCACTATTTCATTAAATAAGGAAAGAAGAAAGCCAGGTCTCAATGAAAACAACCCTCTCTCGTAAAAGAGAACCTTGAATGTACTTGAGAGTATCAATCTACCAACATGAAGCCAAGATGAAAAATCCCTATGGTGACTGCAGCACCAGGGCACCGCCTTCACCAAACTATGTCAAACTGCTCTTGTCAAGGCATTTGGGGAAACAGCCTCACAACCATCATAATCACAATATAACAGATGTTCCTATAACACTCTGAATAGCTTCAAGACAAAGTGATTAAATTAATAAATAATTATATATCAAGGAACTCTTGAGGAGTTCCTGAGGAGGAATCTACTTCTAAACTAGAAATTCTACAGTTCAAGAAAAAAAAAAAAAAAAAAAAAAAAAAACGCAACCCAGAGCTCCAGTCTAGTTTTTAAAAAATAAGCACCTGTAGCTAAAATGAGTTTGTATAACTAGAAAGATTCCAGTGAAATAAGTTAGGTTGGATGTATTTTCAATTATTTCACACTGTTTGGTGTTTCTTTCTTGTGTATCATCATCATAATAAAATCAAGATAACTAGCCCCAAGGATTTTTTTTTTTTTTTGAGACAGAGTATTACTGTCAACTGATTGCCAGTAACTCTGTCACCAAGGCTGGAGTGCAGTGGTGCAATCTCTCACTGCAGCCTCCGCCTCCTGGATTCAAGCAATTCTCCAGCCTCAGCCTCCCGAGTAGCTGAGATTACAGTCACCTACCATCATACCTGGCTGGTTTTTGCAGTTTTAGTAAAGACAGGGTTTCACCATATTGGCCAGGCTGGTCTCAAACTCCTGACCTCAGGTGATTCGCTCAGGTTGGCCTCCCAAAGCGCTGAGATTGCAGGCATGAGACCCCGGCCAGGTCCCCAAGGATTTTTTTTAAAGATTTTTTTAAATAGAAAGCTCTAAAGCCATATCCACACATATTTCCATTCAAATTCGCTCCTGTGCCCTTATGCCATATTGCTAACACAGTCATTAGACTGTTTCGAAAACATACTTAGAAGTAAATAATCCAAATTTCATTTAGGGTCGTGATGCTATAAACATTACACACACAGGCTACAAAACATGAATACCCTGAGGGCCAAACAAGCCACAAGAGCAAAACGAACTAAAAGCATTAAATATTTACCTGTGTGTGCTCCCAAGGCATGCTATCTATCACAAGGAGGGAAAAGAGAACCAGCATATGCTAAATAGCGCAATCCCAAAACACTAACCATGCACAAATATCAATAATTCATATAAAATCAGTAATTGCCCGAATTCTGGGTTCTGTACCAGAATTTTGCTTTTAAAACAGATTCAGCTATCGCAGGTTCCTTGTCATTCCCTTTTCCTTCTCTCCGAGGCCAAGCAGACAGGAGAGCATTGATATGCAGACAGTGATGTGGCAATCAGTTGACAGCATCCATTTTATGTATCTCTGCATGTGCATTAGCAGTAAGAGGAATGAAATGTAGCCTGGAGAGTTATTAATGAGTAGAAAACAAAGCCTGCCTATCACAGGTAATTACTCAGATTATTAAAATGTCCCCAAAGCGTTGAAAAGGGCTCATGGGTCACCCATACAGGGGCATTCCAATTACAGCCTGTGTTGTTTCTTGGAAGATTTCTCAATCTCCACCCCCACCCCTTCCAGGTATTTCTTACCACCTTACAACCAAAAAGGACAACTACAGTTCAAAAAAACCTACAGCAGGCCAGGTGCAGTAGCTAACGCCTATAATCCCAGCACTTTGGGAAGCTGAAGCAGGCAGATCATAAGGTCAGAAGTTCAAGACCAGCCTGGCCAATATGGTGAAACCCCGGCTCTACCAGTAATACAAAAATTAAACAGGTGTGGTGGCAAGTGCCTGTAGTCCCAGCTACTCGGGAGGCTGAGGCAAAAGGATTGCTTGAACCTGGGAGGCAGAGGTTGCAGTGAGCCAAGATCACACCACTGCACTCCAGCCTGGGCGACAGAGTGAGACTCTGTCCAAAAAAAAGAGAAACCCTTAGCACAGCAGACCTCCAACTTTAAAATTGGCTTGAGAAGTCCTTCTGATGATCAAATTTGAACATTAAGTATATGTTAACTATTTTTCTTCTCACTATGCTCCATCAAATTGGTTTTTGTTTGTTTTTAAAGGCAACATAATAGACATGTGGGAGGGGGTGCATTAGAATCAAATAGACATGGGTTCCAGTTGCAGCTTGCTGCAACTTGCTAGCTGGAATTCCAACAATTTATTTAATCTCTCTAAGCCCCAGTTTCTTTATCTATAAAGTCAGATAATAATAGTACATGTCTCCCAGGACTGTGCTGAGGATTTAAAATTTTTAATGCACAGAAAGCCCCCTATCTCAGTGCCTGGGCACATGATAAGGGGGATAAGTGGTAACTTAAACAGGATTACAGGCGGAATTAGCCATACACAAAATTGTCAAGTAATCAAGCTTGTTTCTAGTGCTTCCTCCATAACTGCTTTTGTTCTCCTGCTTGCTTCTCAGGATATTGGTGGCCAAAGGACTTATGCTAACCCAAGATACTGCCAGGCTGTGCGTAGGACGATTTCACAAACTGGACCTGCTCTAGCCACCTTGCAAAGCCTCATGCTCTCAACACTTCCTCTGCTTCTATAGTAGAGGCTATTCTGAATGGGGAGACCTATTTTGCAATCCGTGTTAACCTCCAAAAATATTTTGCTCACATTCTTCATCCTGGACAACAAAGCACTTTCTTTTTTATATAAATTTTTTCAATGAAAGTACAGAAAAGTACACAAATACAACATATAGAAAAGTACACAGATCATAATTTAAAGAATGTTCACAAAGTTAACACACTCAAGTAACCAACATTATTACTGGAACTTCAGAAACCCCTGGTGCTCCCTTCCAATCACTATCCCAACCAAGAAAACTACCATACTCTATGGTATAATACTTATTCAAGTCTATGTCACATATTTATAGAGTAATCTACCTTTTTGTTACTGATTTGTAGAAGAGCTTTCTATATTCTACATACAAGTCCTTTTTGAATATATTATGAAATATCCCCTATTACATAGACTTTATTCTTAATGGCATCTTGTAACGAACTGAAATTATTTAGCCCAGTTTGTCCATTTTTCTCCTCCATGGTTACCATATTTATATCTTGTTCAAGAAATCTTTGCCTAACCCAAACTTATGAAGATAGTCTA